ATTTTTCAGTTTTCGGCGGACACAACATCTTTGGTTGTATGTGGTGCTGAGGATGGAACCCAGCGCCCCGCGCATGCCAGGCGAGCGCGTTACCACTTGAGCCACATCTCCAGCCCCCAACTTGGTGATTTATTGCAATCTCGCCTTAAAATGTGCCTCATTCCTTCTTTCCTGCGGGGAGGGAGACTGGAATCTTTGAGGAGGAACGTAAAAAAACAATTTCTATGAGACAGAAACTGTTCAGGGGACACTTGACTCATCCCCAAGGACACACAGTTCCCAAACAGGGGGCTGTCCTCTATTTAGATCAGTCCTCTGATTCCCACCAAGCAGACAGCCCCCCCCCCGCCCCGCCTTCACCCCCCGGCCTCCAGAACATTCAGCCCTGGGAAGTGTTGGCTCTTTGTCCCAGTGCACCAAAATAGCAACCTACCAGATTCAGTTCCTGTTCCTTTTGAGTCTTTGAACACAGCCAGAGAGAGAAGGAGTCTCATTAGAACAAGACACACGTGACAGCAAATAAAAACCCAAGTGGTACTGTACTGCCGGAGGGGAGCAGGGTGCTGGGAGACCGGATGAAAGCCCCTTGTCCTGCTGCAGAGGCTGGTGGTGGCTGTGACCTTGCTGATGGACCCTGGAGCCCCTCGGCCCTGGTCTTGTCCCATTCGCTGCCTTTGATCAGGGTTTGAGATGAAAGCCCCACAGAAGACGCTCTCCAGAGAGCCCACACGCTGACATCACAGGACAGGGCAGGTGGCAAGAGAATTGCCATTTTGTTTTTCCTACTCTGGTGGCCTCTAGGAGGAAGACAGATGGGGACTATTAGATGGGGCAGAACTTCAGTTCTGCAAGATGAAGAGTCCTGGAGATGGAAGTGGAGATGGCTGTCCACCAATGTGAACGTACTTAATGCTGCACACGTACAAATGACCATTTTTCTCTTCTGTATATTTTGCTAGATTTTAAAATTAAATGAAAGAGGCTCCTTCTGAGGTCTCGCCCAGCCCTGCCTGCCAGCCCCTGACCCTCTGAGTGGAGGCTCAGAGCTCTCACCGTGGTCTCACTGGGGGAGCTACCTGCTAGGGCCTCCTTGGTGGCACTCAGCACTCAGGTCACAGGAGGGAATTATGGTAGCCCGTGGCTCCCTCCAGGAGGGCAAAGGAGGTTGATGTTTCCTGGTCTGTCCTTTGAGCCCAGCTGCGCAGACTTGCCTCCCTTCACACAGGCCTCTAATCCTCTAGGAAGCCCTGGTGTCCATGATGGGTCTCGGGTGGACAGTCGCCTCTGAGGCCTCTGGTGCCCACCTTGCCTTTCCCTTTTCCCCTCTCTGTGGCCACAGCCACCACAGGTTTGCTTTCTGTTACGGGAAAGGAGACATGTAGCCTAATGGGTGAGAGGCGGGTCTCCCTCTTGGCTCCGACAGGCTTGGGTCCAAACCCTGGCTCAGCAGTTTCTGGGCCGTTGCCTTGGCAGCCTGTGTAGAGCGATTGTTCTTCAGTTCCCATCCCTCTAAAGTGGGCCTCATAAAGTGTCCTAACTATTGTTCTAGGATTGAGTTGATCTGTACTCTAGACCAAACACGGACAGAGAGAGGCAGCAGTGTATGGCTGACACCTGGGCTCTGGAGCCAGATGATAGGGACAGCCTTGGGCAGGTGACTCCATTTCTCTGTGCCTATTTTCTCTTCTAAGGAATGGGGATAATAGTACCCTACTATTGCAGGATTGAATGCTCTACACTTAATTCAGAAGACTGTGAGCACACTTTCTGCCTATGTTTAGGGTTCAATACACGTTATTATTTATCATTAAGAAAAATGAGAATACAACAAAATTTCCAGATAAAGAAATTGTGGTGTATATATACAAAATGGATTATTACTCAGCCATAAAGAAGAATGAAAAAAAAAATATGGCATTTGCCAGAAAATGGATGGAACTGGAGACTCTCATGCTAAGTGAAATTAGCTAATCTCCCAAACCAAAGGCTGAATGTTCTCTCCGATATGCAGATGGGAGGGGAGCCAGAACAGAAGTTCACTGGATTAGACAAAGGGGAATGAAGGGTGAGGAGGAGGGATGGGAATAGGAAAGACAGTGGAATGAATCAGACATAACTTTCCTATGTTCTTATATGAATACACGACCAGTGAAACTCCACATCATGTACCACTGCAAGAATGGGATCCTAATTAGAATAAGTTCTATTCCATGTATGTATGTCAAAAACACTCTACTGTCATTCTATCTAAAAAGAAGAACAACAGAATAAGCCAACATGAAAAGTATTTATAGGCATATTGTAAACACTTTTGAAATTATTCTGGATTTTGGATATGAACTAGGAAATCTGTCCTAGAGGCTTCCTCCCCACCTGATGTACAACTGTACTTAAACAGTCAATGTTCAAATCAGTGTGCTAGTTTCTACAGTAATCATCACGGGACTTAAAAAAGATGTAAAGCACACACACACACACACACACACACACACACACACATGCAGATCGACTGCCAGAAGGGAGCAGAAGAGCAGAGGATATGGATGTGTTCCCCCCCAACACCATTACCCTGTGACAACTGCAATTGTCCAAGATCTTGCAAATAGAGCACCCATGTTGGCATCTCTCAGTCTTGATTATGCTTGAAAAAGTGGTCAAACAAGAGCCAGGACAGGATGTTTCTGAAAAGTCAACCCTAAAGGGTAAAGTGTACAAGCTTTTCTCTGTGCCCTCCTTGTGCCCTTCCAAGGCCAAAGAAAATCCTTTAGGTGTCATTTTTTTTTAATCCATACACAAAGCATGCAAAGTGTCAGTGTCAGATTTGGTTCATTCAAATATTTGGAAGCCCACTGAATTCCAGACACTTTCAAACATGTCTTAGGCCTCAGATTACATGGTGTTTTCTTTTTTTTAAATATTTATTTATTTATTTATTTTTAGTTATTGGCGGACACAACATCTTTGTTTGTATGTGGTGCTGAGGATCGAACCCAGGCCGCACGCATGCCAGGCAAGCGCGCTACTGCTTGAGCCACATCCCCAGCCCCACGTGGTGTTTTCTTAATTCATAGAAGAAATGAGATCTAAAGATCAAGAGTCGCCCAACGTTACACAGCAGCTACAAAACAAGCTGGGATCAGAACCTCTCAAGGATTTAGGATCAGCTCTCTTTCAGTTATTGTCAAGAGTAGGACCATAGAAGTTGAGTGCTCCTCACTGCAACTTTTGGTTTCCCCCATGAAAGGTACAGTATGTAAACTAGGGGGTGGAAATCATGGGAGTGGCAGAATTAGTGGTCCCTTACATCTGGTCTTCTACACTGAGTTTGTTGTTAGGCTCATTCAAATCAGACTCTGATTAAATTCCAATAAACGTGTTAGGTCTCTGCCTCTTTCATCTCATTCTCACAGTGTAAGATTTTAAAACATTTACTTAATAAATAGAAGAATGCCATGTGCATTTATGTATAGAAGAATGCCATGTTCTGAAGGTGGGTGAACAGGTACATACAGAACTTTCAGTCTAGGGAAAGCCCGACAGTCACTATACATGGAGGTCCAAGAATCTTAAGGTGCATCATGGGAGTTCAGAGCAGAAACTCAACCTGATATGACAGGGAGGGGTGGCAGGAAGTGGCCTGAAAATGAACAGGGCTTAACCAGGAGGAGGGGGTGAGGTGGTGGTGAGAGTGTGCCTCAGAATCTGATTTTTTTTTCCCTTGCCTTTGACTGAAAAGGAGAACTTGATGTGTTCAGGAAGAAAAGCAGCTCAATGTTGGCTGGATCCGAGTACGCAGAGAGAAGTGAAATGTGGTCAGAGAAAAAAGAGCCTCATGGGCTCTTGTTAAGGAATTGGGACTTGATCCCAAGGCTGGAAAAGCGCGGAGCAAGGTTTGCTAATCACATCTGCATTTCTCACTCTGGACTTTGAGTCTCCCCTTCTGTGCAGCCTCCATGTGCCACAATGAGCCTGTGTATGAAGCATCTTGAGGTCAAACATAGACTGTTCCTCCTAATCTGGGAATCCTTTTCAGTCTTCAGGGGTGTGTTCAAGTTTGTTCAGGGGCTATCCCTTGTTTGTATAGGAATGCCAAAGTGAAATCGTTCTTAGTCTGATATCCGGGATGATTAAATGACCAGCATCTGTAGTATGAATTAGATTTTAATGTTAACAATTTTTTGGAAGAATTTTTACTTCAAGCAGAAAACCATTATGAGATCTATACATGAATGCACATAAAAAGATCCTAATAATAAAAGATACAGAATTTCCCCCTGGGAAAAATAGGATAATGAAGAAATAAACCTTGATGTTTCATGTCCCTGGGATTTATCCCATGTGGGCACAGTTCTTGTTAATGCTTTTATCAAATTCTGGTGAAATTTTAGTGGACATACATTGCTTTTATAATTAGCCTGTTAAACAGCTACCGTACCCAAAGACAGGAATCTATTTCATACCATAAAAACTTAAAAAATCATTACTGGCCTTCACTTGAGTGGTCTTTTGAGTTATATGCAATTTAAAAAGAGGTAGGGATTGGAAAAACTAAAGTAAAATCCAAAAGGTAAAGTTATCAGTTAATACCAGCTGGTGCTAACTCTACACCATTATGAAACCTGTGAATTCACTTTTGGCATTGGCCAAAAATTGGTCTCAGTTAACATTGTTTTTGTAAGAGTGTTGGAAAAAACCAATGGAACTCTGTCACTCTTTCAAAATTGTTAGTGCAAACTACATTCATTTGTCAGGAGAAGAGATAAATGCAACGTGTGCTCTCCGAGTTTAAAAAAAAAAGTGTGTTTTAAATAAGACTTTAAACAAAGACTTCTTCTAGAGTTTTAGATCCATTGCTGGCTGCTTAGAAAATAGCTTTCTTGGTTCAGTTCACAATTCTGAAGTCTTCCCCATCAAGGGCTATCCAAAGGAGTGTCCTGCCCTGGGGACAGAGGCCAGGGCGCAGGCTGGGCCCAGTCCATCCTCGGCTTGTTTCCTGATCTTCACATCTGTGTCTGTGAGACAGGCCCCAGTGTGGGGTACAGGTCATTCTTTTCTGCATCCTTTTTCTTTTCATCCTCATCAAACTGAGCCTCGACCTCCACTGGATTGATGTAGGTGTAGAATTTAGCCATGATGGCAAATATCACACAGACGACCAGAAGCAGCGCAGCAAACAGAATGTACTCAGCCCACTGCGAAGGAATCAGAGTTGCAGCAAGACAAAACCAAACAAAATAAGTCATATTCACGTGCATATTGAGCGAACATTTTCTTGCTATGTCTACGTAGAAGTTGCTATGGATTAAATTGTTATGGGAAGTTGGTAGGAACCAATACAGATTCAGATTGGCCAGCTTTTCTTGAATGCCTAAGTGACAGACAACATTTTTCTAACAGCATGGAGGTGCAGAAACACAGGATTTTGGAAAGATGAAAGAAAATTTCTAAAATACTCAAGCCTTAAGACACATGGCTGGTGCTGGAAGGATGCGGACCAAGAGAACAGCAAGCAGCACCCTTATGGGGAAAAGAATGTGCTGAGTTTTACCAAGGTGACACCCTGTGTTCTTCCTGGGTGCACCCTGTGCTTGCGAGCCCTCCCATCACACCCCTGATGGGAGCTGATCAGGAAACGATGAGGACAGTGGGAAGAGACAACTGTGATGCCCCAGTGCTGAAGACAGTGTTGCAGTGTCCAGAAAGCCCTCATTTTATTTTAGCTGAAAAAAAAATCAACCACTCAAAGATGGCTTTAACTTCAGGTATTATAAACATTTCTAGATAATAGGTCTAGTTTAGGGCTATTGAGTGGTATTAACTGAGGCTTGGAAAAATAGTTTCCAAGTAAACCACACTAAGGTGGTTTAACTCAACTTGGTTATTTCGGTTGTCAACTTCTAAAGTGTGGCACCAGGTGAAAATAAGAATCAGTACACACTTTGCCAGAAGGCCATTGATAGCAACCCTATCTGGTCAGTCTGGCCATTTTATCCAGCCACCAACCCAGTGACCACGTATTTAGAGGTGGCTGGGAAGGGTCTTGGGGACGACCATTAAAAGATTAGGCAGAGGTACATCCTCTTTCCTTTCCCGTCCCATACCTGCTCGCTGAAGTGGCCTGCCCCTGCCACAATAAGCACAATGATGTTGCCGAAAGCCACTGTCAGCAGCCATCCTGCTTGGAGCACCGACTTCATGTTGGAAGGAGCCTGAGGAGACAAAGGAAAGAGAGTCTCAACTGGATGTCAGCCTCGGAGCAGAACCCGGCTCACTGACTTGCTCCATGGGCAGTCTACTGACCCTAAGTGCGCATTGGAGGCCAGCTCGCTTCATTTAAACATGAAACGGGTAACTAGGCACCCCGCCTCCCCGCTGCAGGAGCATAAAGAATCCCCGGGCTTCCCTCTCCTCCCCGCGCACTGAGCTCCTCTCGGTGAAAGGAGCAGAGCTCCAGGTGAACTGACTCAACCTCTGCAGGACAGTTTCCAGACCAAGCCACCCTCGCACCCCTCCCCCCAAATGGAGGCTGCTCTCTGGGATACAAGCTTGCTCTTTGCGGCTTCTCGGCCACGTCACCAAAACCTATCTCCCAAGTCTCATCACCTATGTTATGGTCACCCCGTCTGTTAGACTGTGAGGTCATCACAGAAAGGCATTATCCAGCTCACAGTTACCATCTTTACTACAAACATAGAAGGCACTAGAAATTGTGGGTTACAGTGACTGTAAGTGCAGTTTTAAAATAGTCTGGGACACTAAGCTCTGATGTGCGTATCAACAAAATTTGCCTCATTTGTCTGCTGTGCCTAAAAGCAATATTTAAAACTTCTTAAAGCTAGGTCTTATTTGATGTTTTCACTGGTAGCCACAAAGAGATCTCAAATAAATCTAAAACAGGATGAGGACACAGACCTGTAAATGAACACGTTCATGAATACTTAGTAGCATCTGCTTATTTCAAATTGTAGAATCTGCCACCATGATCCTGGTAGCAGTCATGAATACTGTTTTTTCCTACATAGGACTCGTAACTTCTAGAGTGACCACAGGAATTCAGACACACAATGGACACACGCTCAAAAGCTAACAGCGTGGTGTTCTCACTCAGTGATCCTGTCAACCCCAAAGACCTTGGTCTGGGGAAAACATCATAATGCTTTCTAGAATTTTTAAAAACTACAAACATACAGCTATTCCAGATTTAAATTAAGTTCCTGCAGCATGTTATGAATCTAGGGGCGGAGATAGGAGGGGTGGTAAAGACAATGAACAAGAAACCTGTGAATATGAGAACTCCAGTCCTGTAATGGAGAAGACCACCTCGCCACAGGTGAGAAGAAAATACTGCGGGATTTGCAGAGCCATGTTAACTGTGTTGGGTGGAATATCTTCAAACTCCTCCAGTTTGGGGCAGCCATTACCCTAAACCATGAAAGCAAAAGCAGGAAGCTGAAACTGAAGTCAGGTAGCTTCTAGAATAACAGTTCTTCCCACAGGCAAGCTGGGCTCAACCTTCTAGGGTTCTGTCAAGCAATTTATGAGTAAGTACGTGTCTTAAATGTGCAAGTGAAGCATTGCCTGTTATATTTGTGTGGGAATGGAAAATATGTTCACTAGCATTTTCCTTTTAAATAAGACAGGAGATTGGAAACCAGGTTTGTTTAAAACACTGCCATCCCTTTGAACTACACATTTCTCAAGTCCATGTTAAATAGTCTGTAAGGAGCTGGGTGTGGTGGCTCTTGTCTGTAATTCAGCTACTCTAGAGGCTAAAGCAGGAGGATCGTGAGTTCAAGGCCAGCCTGGGCAATATAGCAAGGCTGTCTCAAAATGAAAAAAATAAAAAGAGCTGGGTATGTAGCTCAGTGGCAGAGAGCTTGCCTAGCAGGTTTGATTCCCAGGAAAACGTAACAGTAATAGTAATAATAAGTCTATAAGTAAGCAATGGATACTGGCCAATGTGAACTTGTAATCAGTGTCAGTCAGTCTGAGGATTCTCTTCTAATGGTTATCTTAAGTCAATAATTAATTAGAGAAATAACTGTAAGCCCATTTACAATACAAATCCTAATATTCCTCTCATTAAATGAATGTCCTTACTGTGAAGAGTCAGATCAGCACAAGGTGAGTAGAACTTCTAATACGATGCAATGAATTACTAACCTCCCTTTTGATCACATATGTATAAGCGCTACCAAATTCAAGGTTGGAAGATTCAAAATTTTGTGTACAGTCTTGTGAAATCTCTGTTGAGTTCACTATGATGGTTTTTCTATGAAAAGAAAGAATAACATTGTTAATGTCCTTGGTATTAAAGCCTCAAAAAATACTTGACACTCTTGTACCGGGAGCCAAGTGTCTAGTAGTACTTACTTGCCAGAAGGGAAAAACTGATATTCGCTGGCATTGTGACTGGTGATGTTTTCAAAAACTCTCCCATCCATTGTAATGCTGATAACTTCATTAAAAGTATTTACAAATCTGAAACAGAAAACCGTGGTCTCATAACTGAACCAGATAGCAATTTTCTACAGTTCACAGGACACGCACCTGATATTGATCTATGACCCTTTTTTGAAGAAATTGAAGATGCTTACAGAAAATCCCTGGAGTCTAAAGACAGACAGTTTAGCAACACTAGGTTGCCCCTGCTTGCCCACTCATGACAACAACCCTGAGAGAATTGATTTAACACTGTATTTATACATGTCGGGTACTGTTCTAATTACTTTGTAAGTATTACCTAGTCTACGGACATTTGGGGATACCGAGGAGGCACCAAATAGGGACTGAGCTTTGTGCTCCTTGCTTCAGAAGTGTTAAAGAAGTGAAGGGGGCTGTGATTATAGCTCAATGGTAGAGTGCTTATCCAGCATGCATGAGGCACTGGGTTTGATTCTCAGCACCACATATAAATGAATAAATAAAAAAAAATAAAGGTCCATCAACACTAAAAAAAATTAAAAAGAAGTGAAGGACCCCAAACAGAAGTTTCTCAGTACCTAGAACACAGCCTCCAAAAGGTTTTCTTCTGGAGGCAGGGAAGGAGACTTGTAATTTCTTTAACTGCTAGGAGGCTGGCTGTGACAGGGAAGGGTTACAAGGTCTGGAGAGGAAGAAGTGGGACAACCCAGTAAACATTTCCCACGTGGCTCTGGAGAGACAGTCAGCACCCTGCAGGAGTGGAACAACTGACGAGCCTGGGCTGCCTGCCCCAAGTCTTCCAGCCTCAGCGAGTTCCCCTGCCTCAGCTTCATGTGGAGCCAGGTGAGTTGCCTGCCTTCCTGGGACCAGACAGGTGGTGAACAGCAAGGACAGGTGATTAGAGATCACTTCCTTAGATGTTCCAGGCTATAGAAGATCCCAAAATTCTTGTACCACTCTAGGAATGAGGTGGATGCTAGGAATGAGCCCAAATAAGATCAGCTCATTTTTTCCCAACAAATAGGCGAGTGAAGGTTTATAGCAGATTATCCAATTTAGAGGACAAAAAGTAATAATGATGTACATCTAAGTACTAAAAAGAATAATTCAAACTTTGTATTCCTAAAATACATAACCAAGTTTTATCAGCTTTGTGACACATATTGATTCAATACAGTAGTTTATATATGTAATTTATAAAGGATATAATATTCATATGTAGTGGGCTCATACTCAAAATATTTTTATTAAAAGTGATCAAGAGTTTAAAGATCACCGGCCTAGAGAAACTTCCTACATTTAAACAAAGAAACAGGTAAGAATGTGAAGTAAATGTGAATAAATAAATTGTGGTATATCCATACAGCGGAATACTCTACAGTGGAAAAGTGAATGGATAAGAGATGTATACGTCAATATGGCTAAATATTAAAATAATTTCATACTATATTTTATAATATTATAGAATAACATGCACAGGATATAACTTTTATATCACATTAAGCTTAAAAATATAGCAACAACATATTGTTTATGGACACTAGTATGGTTTAGATATTAGGTGTCTCCAAAAGCTCATGTGTATGACAATGCAAGGAAGTTTAGAGGAGAAATGATTGAGTTGTGAGAGTCATAAGTTAAGTGAATTGATCCCCTGTGGGATTAACTGAGTGGTGATGGAAGGCAGGGAGGATGTGGCTGGAGGAAGGGGGAAGGGGGGCATGCCTTTATATTTTATATCTGGTGAGTGGAGTCTCTCTTTCTGCCACTTCCCTCTATCACATTTTTCTGCCATGATGTACAGTTTTACCTGGAGCCCTGAAGAATGGAGCTGGCTGTCTATGGACTGAGACCTCTGAAACTGTGAGCCCCCAAGTAAACTTTTCCTCCTTTAAAATTGCTCTTGTCAGGTCTTTTAATCACAGCAGCAAAAAAGCTGACTTAAAACAGAAAGTGGTACTGAGAGGTGGGGTTGTTGCTATAACTGACCTGACCATGTGGTTTAGAAGCTTTTGGAGCTTTATAGAATTTGGGGGAGGAATTTTGAGATGTTTAGCACTGCAAGCTGGAAATGCTGTAAGTGGACCTTAATGGACAATTCTGGTGGGAGCTCAGAAGACCAGAATGCCAGTAGGACCATGGACAGTAAGACACGGATCAAAAGGGTTTGGAGGAAAGGGAGGATATTATTGGTAATTGGATTAGAGGACATTTGTGTTATGTTCTGGCTGATAAGTTGCCTGAATTTTGCCTATTTCCTGAAACTTCCTGAGGGGCTGATTTAAAAAGCAATGGAATTCTTAACTGGTGGAAAAAATTTCTAGAGAGTATAGCATTCAGGTGGTGTCATGGACATTGCTGGTGGTTTTTAGCCAAATTTATTGTGCAGGAGCAGAAAGCAAAACAGAAAGATTTTAAAAACTTGGACTTGAAAGGTGGGAGTAAAACTGGGGCTAAGAAAGTTACAGTTTAAAAGAAATTCCTGTCAGTAAAGAAATGCTAAAGACTTTGCCAGAGACCGTAAGAAAGATAGCTTGAGGGCATCTCAGGAATTGGCAAGATCATATCCATCTCAGACTTAAGAAAGTACAAGTAAAAATTCTCTTGAGATGAGACCAGTGGGACACTCTTTTTGCATGAGGGGGCCAAGGAAGCTTTTTCAATGTGTTCACCCATCCAGGCACTCAGAGGTTGCTGCAGCTGTGGTCCCTGGAGGTTTGGCCACTGGTTAATATGGCTGTAGACCTTGGCAGCAACCATTTTGTGCTGGTTCTGCAGGATTGCAGGACGCTGGAGTTAGGGGGTCATGGAGACTTCCACCAAGATTTTAAAGGAAGATCTGAAAGGACAGGCAAAGTGCAGCAGGTTCAGAGTCCCTGCGGGCACCCCTTGAGAGGGCAATGCATAGAGATGTGAGGAGGAAGCAGAATTGCAGTGGAGATGCCTAAGATTAAGAAATGCCAGTACCATGGAACGTCTGCTGATGAGGCTGAAGGAATCAAGCTGAGATCAGCCAACAGAAAGGCCATTTGGGCTAAAACCAACAAGGCCACAGGAGCAAAGTGACACAAGCCCTTTGGACAGAACCTCACAATGCCATGTGCCCCAGATGCTGGACGTGGAGCTACTGGAGTTGTTTGTTCACGTGGATTTCAGTCTTGTTTTGATCCTTTTCCTTCTTTCTGTGCCCTTATTTTTGTGAATGGAAATATTTACTCTGAACCTTTATATATTGGATACCTGTAAATCACTTTTGGTTTTTATAGGATCTCATGATGCAAATTTTCCCTGGGTCTCGAAGGAGATTTTGGACTTGAACTTTTGGGCAATCTTGAACAACTGAGACTATGGGAACTCTTGGAAATGGACTAAATGTATTTTGCATTGTGAGATGAGCATGAGCTTTTCGGGGAGAGAGGTGGAATGTTATGGCTTAGATATTAAGTGTCCCCTAAAAGCTCATGTGTGAGACAATGAAGTAGGTTTAGAGGAGAAATGATTGGTTATGAGAGCCTTAACCCAGTCAGTGTATTAATCCCCTGATGGATTAACTGAAGGCAGATAGGGTATGGCTGGAGGAGGTGGGCCTTGGGGTTGTGCCTTTGAGGTATATATTTTGTATCTAGCAAGTGGAGTCTCTCTCTGCTTTCTGATCATCATGTGAGTCACTTCCCTCCACCACACTCTTCTATCATGATTTACATCTCCCCTTGAGCCCTGAAGAAGATCTTGCTATTTATGGATTGAGACCTCTGAAACCTTGAGCCCCCAAATAAACTTTTCCTCCACTGCAATTGTTCTTGTCAGGTCTTTTAGTCACAGCAGTGAAAAAGCTGAGTAAAACAGATGTATATAATATATATCAATAGGTAATGTTAACAATGCATGAGAAGGATCAATATCAAACCCTCAACTAGTTTTGCCCTGAAGTATTATTATATTTTAAAGTTTCTATTTAAGGCAATCAATTAAGTCTTTCAACTTACTGATAACATGTGATCAAAAGGATTATATTTGCTTAAACTTTTATATGTTCTTCCTTTAATTCACTTTCCTCAGAAGTCTGACTTGCTGAAATTCTTGAAGTTATCAGTTATTTTCTCACATTGGGTTTCTAGAGCTTCCTGTTTATTTTTTTTATGGGTTGTCTCTGGGGCATTACTAAAATAATAAAACCCTTGATCCATTAAGAATTTTGTATTTTCGGTTAATAGAAAAAGGTTTCTCTTTTACCACATGGGTGGAGGTGATAGTGGGTTCAATGTGTTACTGATCTCATGTGTCTCTCTTCATTTCCAAGATTTCATCAAAGACATTTTTTTTAAAAAAAAATAAGTTTTTATAGCATGGTACCAGATCAGAAAAGGATACCATAATCTAAATTTTCCAAAGTTTCCAAAATTAGGATGCTTTTGAAGAAATCAAAGCAAGGGAAACCATGGTCTGAGGCAAAAACGAAAGCCCAGAGGTGCTTCTGGCTCAGAATCAAAAACAGAGCCCAGGAAAGCACCAGGGGACTGTCATCAGTGTATCTCCCTCCTGATCCAGGAGGGCTGCTGTGTGTATGTGCATGTAGGTAGGACAGAAGGACGGCTCCAGAGATCTGAAAGAAGGTGTTGTGTTCTGAGCTGTATCCCTCCCAAATTCCCATGTTGGTGTGTGAGACCTCAGTACCTCAAAATGGGAGTATTTAGGGAGAAGGTCCTTAAAAAGATAAGATTAGGTCACAGGGTGGCCTTAATCAAGTACGACTGGTGTCCTTGCAGGAACAGCAGAGCAGGACACAGGTATGCACAGAAGGAGAAACACACGAGGACACAAAGGCGGCCCTCTGCAGGCCAAGGAGGCAGGCCTCACAAGAAACCAACCCTGCTGGCACCTCCACCTCAGACTTCCAGCCAGAAGAACTGCTAGAACCCAAATTCCTGTGTGAATAAGCCACCCAGCATGTGGGAGTTTATCATGGCATCCTAGAAAAATCAAATAGAAGAGAACAAAGAAAATGAAGGAAGAAATAAAGAACTGAAAGAGACTTGTGTTGGTAGATGAATGACATT